GTGTGTGTGTGTGTGTGTGTGTGTGTGTGTGTGTGTGTGTGTGTGTGTGTGTGTGTGTGTGAAAATGTAGGCAGCAGGTGATACGATAACAGTATTGTTGTTAAAGTGGTTCTGCCGCAACATTGTGATGCAGCCCACACATTCACAATGATTGCATGGAAAATATTACACATTTATCTCGGCTAGAGCTGCTGCACAGTTCTCCTCTGCAATAGAAAAACTCTCCCAGTTTGTCGTTTGTTTATCTATCACCATCTGTGTAGGCCAGGTGGCAATTAGGCGAATTGCATATTTACTTAAGATTTTTGTACAAGTAAAAAAAATGGGTTTATTGCTAAATGAGTCGATATTACAGGAAAATTGCGGCTTATTAAGGTAAGCTCTGCTCATTAAAACTTGGCAGCAGACTTGAAATGCACAAACAAGTCTATGGTTATATTTTCTGTCTGGGTTACATCATTTTTTTGTCATCATTATTAGCACAAATGCTTTAAGAAATATTCTGTTTAAAAAAAAAAGGAAAAGTAAATATATATTTTATTGTTTTATAAGAATAAAAATAAGATGCACAAATGCTCTCACCCTGTTATGTTTCTGGGAGCGTGACTCTTTGGCAAGTTTGTCCTCGCTGTGTCCTTGATGCGTCTTCTGCTGTTGACATTTAGGTCTGTCAACACAAGCGAGAGTCGCCAAGCCTGAAAAGAAGTGCAAATAAGAGAAATTATTAAACAATAAGGCACTAAAGTCAACACAGTAAAAGTCATATAGTGAAAATAAAATAGAGGAAATAAGTCAATAACAAAGAACAACAGTTATAGGAACCTGTTGAACCAATATAGTTAACTTAAACTATATGTTAAAAAAAATATTTAATTAACTGCAAAGAAAATTTGACTTACCGTATGAAAAAAAATTAAAGTTAATAAGCGATTTTGTGAACCTAAAGAAAATAAAAATATACAGGAAATATCCTTAGTTTTGGTATCTCTTAGTTTACTAAAACTTTTATTACAGCTTACCTGATGAGGCATTGATGGATGTGTTTATTAAAACCTTGAACGTCTACAACACTGTGAGTCAACTGCTTTTAAGAACCTCTGTGTTTTTATTGTATCACCTGTACTGATGTTCCTATATTTGGTCTCTGACGTATGCCCTTCGCATACTAATAAAACATAATAGCTTAAATAATAATTACAAAAACTAAAATTAACACAAACTATCAAAAACTACACTAAAACTTAACATTTTCGAACAATAAAATCAAATGAAATAAAAACAAAACCAATTAGAAAATACAAAACTATAAAGTGAATGAAAGAAACAAGTATGCACATAGATAATAAAGATGAAGTGCTACCATACAGCACAGTAAATAAACTGATTCTATTAATTCTATTAATTTGCTAGAGCCCTACCACATTAACCCACCTTTACAGCTATGTGTAATTCCCACAATAACATTATCCAACAGTAACCAAAGCACAGGTTAGAAAAAAGTTTAAACAGCCATGTAAGTTTGCTGGGCCAATAAGTCTTAGATAACATTAGATCTAAAAAGTTAAGATCTTTTACAGGTGTGGTCACTTTTAGCCGGATCTTCTTTCCATGAGCAAGCACAACACTGCTAATATTAACATAAATGGACTGGTACTTATATAACACAAAGTGTTTTCTTGTTAGTCTCCTTCATACAAGTGCTTTTTTCCTATGGCTAAGCATATTTAAACGCATATTCCATCAGGGGCAACTCAGGGTTCAGGATCTTGGCCAAGAACACTGGGAAAAGCACGCAGGTTGGAGAAGCCAGAGATCGAACCACCGACCTTCCGATTAGTAGGCGACACTGAATGTTAATTTAACCGACTCATCTGATCCTAACACAGTCCCAAGTGTTCCCTCCCATGCGAGAGTCACTTTTTTCGCTTTACCTGATGTCGGTCTTGTGGCTGAAGAGGAGGAACTGTTTACAGAGGAGGTGGACTGCGACCTGCTTGGTTGTCGTCGTAGAGACCTAATGGCAGGATGTGTCCCGCTGCTGCTGCTACTCTGAGAACAGAGGGAGTCACTGCTCTCGGACTTTGCCAGCCTGGATCAATCAGACAGATGGATTAAAAACTCTTTAAAGCTCCTCGCCATCCATCCTTAATTTTATAATATCACCACGTAGCTGCAAACCAGGAGGGACATATATCATCATACCTCTTGTGAGGATAGCCTCCAACAATGTCTGCTTCCCAGGACCTGCGCTTGAGTCGTGCTACATCATTGTTCTGCAGAGTCTCGCCATCAGGCACGCTTCCTGGTTCTGACATCACAGCTGGTGAGGGAGCGGGGCTGAGGGCAAAGGGGAGGGCGCACGGTTCCTTGGAGCAGGTGGTTTGGGTCTCATACCGAATCAGACGAGATTGGAGCCGTACAAAGGCCTGGTCTCGATCTAAAGACCGCTGGTTATCCAGACAGAACCTACACGAAGAAAAAAATTATTTATAAAAAGTAAATCTCATAAAAAGAAGCGTTCAAAGTTTTAAAATAGCTGAACAGTCAATATACTTTAGAGAAACTTACTCTATGCCGTGATAATGGGAGGCTGAGGCTTTGCTGAAAGGCAGTTTGCTGACTCTCCTGGGAGAAAGGTCTTGTGACAACTGGAAGGCATTGTTACTGGAAAAAAAAGCAAAGAGCATGAATGCGAGTCATAGTCAGAAAGACAAAAAGAGAGATAAACTGTTATTTGTCTTGCTTCTCAATTTAATATCGTCTTCATTAAACCACATGAACAAGTCTGCCTCTCTACACACAGAGTTTGGTCTGACACAGCCTTTATTGACACTAACTCCTTACTGCTCCAGTATTTTTTTAACTCAGCTCAATAATCTTCCTCCAAGGGTTGTAAGCTCACTGTAGAAGGTTAATGATTATAATCAAATCCTAATTATGGCTTCGTTTAGTGTGTGTCATGTAGATCCATCCCAGGAATAAATACATATAACTGGAGCAGATGCCAGGCTACAGTGCGTGTATGTGTTTCAGCTGTAAATCTGAAAATCTGCCAAAGAAACAAAAACTATAGTGTGTTCATATTTATGAATTTAACAGCTTAGTGCAGTGAAACTGGTGAGGTGCTATTTGAAATCTGAAAAATGATCCCACCCTCTGTTAATGGCCAGCGGCTGTAGCTCCCCCGCAGGCAGACCATCAGACGTGAAGTGTTTCAGAAGTTCTTTGGCATCAAGTAAAGTAGAAGAGCCTCTCTGGCCATCTTTAGGACCCAGCAGACTGTCACTAGAGCCTGGACCTAACAGACCAAATCTAAGGCACAGTCAACAGAACATAATAAAATGAGAAGATCAGACATTTTAACAGTTCAGAGTGAGCCATATACGGATATCCCATCCCTTATACCTTCTCTTCTGGCGTCTCTTCTGCAAGTTTTCCACATTGTGCAGGACACTTCTCTCAGGCCAGTCAGACGGCAGCTGAGAAATGATCTGAAAACCTAAAACGAACACAACAAGCCATCCTGTTTACATCAATTCAATTGAAAACATCCATCATTAGGGAGGCGTTTTAAGATTATTTTTAAGAGTGGTTTTATGGCACACAATAATGGACACAAAGGTACACGCTTCTCCTACTTTACCAGCAAGATTTGAATAAAGGTCAGCTGCTAGACTTGGAATCAGATGCTATAGAAGTGTTTGTCTCTGCTCAACCCAGAAGTGAGAGCACACAGTAGTAAGAAGCAGGCGTTATCCATCACTTTCAAATGTTGATGAATGAGCATTCACTGCTCTTAATAGAGAATAAAGTTGGCGTTGCAGGAAAAAACAAATGGTAAATGGTAAATGGCCTGTATTTATATAGCGCTTTTCTAGTCCTTTAAGGACCCCAAAGCGCTTTACATATCCAGTCATCCACCCATTCACGCACACATTCACACACTGGTGATGGTAAGCTACATTGTAGCCACAGCCACCCTGGGGCGCACTGACAGAGGCGAGGCTGCCGGACACTGGCGCCACCGGGCCCTCTGACCACCACCAGTAGGCAACGGGTGAAATGTCTTGCCCAAGGACACAACGACCGAGACTGTCCAAGCCGGGGCTCGAACCGGCAACCTTCCGATTACAAGGCGAACGCCCAACTCTTGAGCCACGATCGCCCCCAAATCAGTAACATTACACAGGCGTTTATACACTCACCAGCCACTTTATCAGGTATTAGGATGCTAGAATGGGGTTGGACTCCCTTTTGCTTTCAGAAATGCTTTAATTCTTCATGGCATAGATTCAACAAGGTGCTGGAAACATTCCTCACAGACCAGACAGTTACTGCAAGTTTATCAGCTACACATACTAGGGGTGCAACGATACTCGTATTGATATTGAACCGTTCGATACAGTGCTTTCGGTTCGGTACGCATATGTATCGAACAATACAAAATTTGTAATTTATTTTATCAACTTTCCTTCTGACGATGCTGTCTGTGTTGAGCGCTCAGTGAATCTGCGTTCGACTACTCCGCCTAGGCTGCACTGTCGAGCGCAGATCCACTGAGCGCTCAACACAGACAGCATAGTCAGAAGGAAGAGCGCAGGGCAAGCTAGCGAGACAGAAGTTAAGCTCTCCTTGCAACATGGCAAATTGAACCTCCCCCACCCTCATTCAGATCTGGCGTTTGGAATTATTTTGGTTTTCATGTGACGTATGACCCTGAAGGTAAGCGCGTCATGGACTAAAGTAAAACAGTATGTTGGATGTGCCACGCAATGCTCAATTACATGGGTGGGAACTAGTGTGTTAGCGCAGTTAGCTCGTTAACGTGTTGGCCGTCTAGCCCCACGCACGGGGCGATCAGGGGTAGCTCGTTAACGGAGATTTGCCGTGTTGTGGCGTTAACGTCATTTCAACGAGATTAACGCTGACAGCACTAGTGGGAACACAACGAATATGACTGCACATTTACGCCGACATCATCCTAGTGCAAAGACAAGTGGAAGCAGACAAAAACAACAAGCATGCATGCTACAAACTTTACCCGAGTCATTTAGACAGCCGTTAGCACATGATTCTCCTTATGGGGACCTGATATGTTTAATATTGTGGCGAGCTCAGACAAGGAGGAGACGGAGGTGTCGTTTGGTCTTGCTTCCCGTGAGCTAGCCAGGGAGCACAGCCGTTTATTGACATCTGCAGAAGAACACTGCCGCTAGCTAACTGCTCAGCGCGGCAACCGCACAGCAACAACAACACACAGGGCGCCCTCTGACCCCGGAAGGACACACCGTCGCAGCGAGAAGGCGTCACCCGTCACTATGGCAACATAAACAAAACATAACTGTACAAACAGAACCCCGAACAGCCCTGACCCGCTACATAGCCCCCACCTAAGGGGTCAGTCGTCCCCGACGACCCCATTGCCCCACACAAAGTCCTGCAAATGTCCAGGTGCCTTCTTTTGGCGCACCGGCCGGTCACGACCGGCGGGGGAAAAGTCACTCGGGTCAGAACATGGGGTGCCACCATCATCCCACTTCTGACACCAATGTGGCGAGCTCAGACAACGAGGAGACGGAGGTGTCGTTTGGTCTTGCTTCCCGTGAGCTAGCCAGGGAGCACAGCCGTTTATTGACATCTGCAGAAGAACACTGCCGCTAGCTAACTGCTCAGCGCGGCAACCGCACAGCAACAACAACAACAACACACAGGGCGCCCTCTGACCCCGGAAGGACACACCGTCGCAGCGAGAGGGCGTCACCCGTCACTATGGCAACATAAACAAAACATAACTGTACAAACAGAACCCCGAACAGCCCTGACCCGCTACAATATGCTGCTGAGAATATAGCCCAGAAGAAGCGTATAGTATAGCTTTTATTTTGGAAAGAGCCATTTCTCTGTAATAAACTCTCTTTTCCAAAGATGAGTGATTCCTCAATCAGATACAGGGCTCGCAAAATCGCTAGCCCGACGTCCCGGGCTAGCGATTTTTCCAGTCGGGCTACCAAAATCTATCTCTGCCCTGCCCGTCGGGCTATTGAAGGAAAAATATATGTCAATGCTTTTGCATTCTTTCGGAAATGTAGCTGGGTAATTATGTCATTGGCATCGGTGAGCCACTGTCAATATGTGACATATTGAAATCGCGTTTGAATTTGCGCTTGTTTTTTGCTTTCACTTTGCAATCGCGCGAACTGTGTATAGAGAGCGACAGCACTGATTGGTGAGTGATGATAATTTGCGCACCAATTCCTCTGACATCGTCTTATCAATCGTTAGCTTACTATGCAAACATGACAAGTGAAATCTCCCGCAGCAAGCTTAAACATGTGAGAGGTTGATCGCGCAGAGAATCGCTGACCGTTATGTGTGTGTGTGTAAAAGCAGCAGGATATATATTTTAGTTCTGCTGAGCCAAATAAGACAGGTCAGGGTGAAGAAGTGACAGCCAAAGAAAAGCTTACCACAAAACGGAAAAGTTATGACAAATCAGACTATAAGGCAAAAAGAAAGTGCAGCTTTATGGTTTCATGGACAAAAGAATTTCTGTGGCTGCAATATGACGAGCTATATAACCAGGGCTGCACATAAGTGGTCCGCAGGTGCGCATTCGCTGTCAAAATAAAAAAAAAACGCGCACAAGATATGAAGTTGCAACGCGTGTTTGCATACATAAGATTTTCTGGAGGAGGACAGACATTTGTTTAGAACTCTTAAAGATGTCGAAGAAGCTCCTTTAAGCAATTACTTTGGTGTTCCTCCACCTCCAAAGAAATGTCAGAAGGAGTCCGAACCACAAAAGAAGCGCGTATTCTCGGAAAAGTGGTTGCAGGAGGTGAGCTGGCTTCAAACAAATGATGAACGCACAGAGATGTGGTGCGGAATGTGCCGTGAAAATCCCACTCTAGCGGACAAAAACAGTGCTTTTTATATGGACGCAAACGCGCGTTGCAACTTCTTATCTGGTGCGCGTCTTTTATTTTGACAGCGAATGCGCACATGCGGACCACTTATGTGCACCCGTGTAAATAACATAATGTTCTGCCGGGTGTGTTGTTGGTTTTCTCTCGATTTCTGAGTCGACAAGCGCCTTTGTTACTGGGACCAGTCATTTTAAGAAAGGCCCCCATTAGAACCCATGAGAAATGCAAGAAATGCATTATTGCTCAGTCTGCAATATCTTTCCCAGAACAAACACCAATTGCAAATAACATACTAAAAATAAACCTGAAAAATCTGTTTAGAACAGCGTACTATGTTGCAAAGAGTGAACTACCACTGGCAAAATTTAGCAGTCTTTGCAAACTTCAAAAAGCAAATGGCCTAGATCTTGGTTCCACTTGTCTCTTACCCGTGACTTCAGTGGAAATTTCAAATTCAGGATCTGACACAGACTGATTCATGTCCTACACAGTTCTTACAAGTTCATAGAAATTTCTGTTCAATTAGAACCAAGTATTTGAGTTGATGATTGTAATTTTTAAAATTTTTTTATAAAAACAGCTCAGCTTTTTTCTGTGCGGACAGGACTGCATGTTATATCAAGACGGACAGAAATGTGATACATGTGGATACAGCAGGTTCTCTGACGAGATACGGGTGTTTCATGCAAAGTGATAGCCTAAGTGTGTTGTATGTATAAACCTAAGCCTTCTGCTAGCACTTTGACAACCCACACAAAGTCATTCACTCCTTTAGGCGATGTAGACACACAAACAGCAGACGTATCTAATGGATTGAAGGAAAGGACATTCCTATCCCCAAAAAATAAGGATCACAAGCAAAACAGAGTGAATTGCACTTAAGACTGTCTACACTACCACCATATCATCTCTTGTGATTCTGAACCTTCCTGATTCCACTTAACAAAATTCAAGATTATGTCTGTGCAATGCCCAGGACCACTAAAGCAGGGGTGGGGGAACTCCTCAAGGGCCGGTGTCCAGGTTTTAAATGTGTCCTTGATCCAACACAGCTGATTTAAATGGCTAAATTACATCGTTAGCGTGTCTTGAAGTTCTCCAGAGGCCTGGTAATGAGTTAATCATTTGATTCAGGTGTGTTGAGCCAGGTGATATCTAAAACCTGCAGGACACAGTCCTTGAGGCCTAGAGTTCCCCAACCCGCACTAAAGTGAAATATATGGTAGAATATCAAATTCAGAAAATACACTTTAATATGAAGGCCATGCTGTTTTAATGAAGTAGTGGCAGTTCTGCTGCAAAGATGGTCTTCTATTGATGTTTAGCCTAATGAGTTAATATACAATTATGGATAAATATAAAATCTAATAATAAAAAGATGCTGTGCAGAGACAGTAAACATAATTCCAAAATAATATTGCCGCATTTATGACCTAAAAACTGCTTCACATGTGGCTCTATTAGCCCCACAGCTATATATTTAAAACCAGCGCTGTGCGCACGTAGCTGTAGCTGCAAGCTAGAATTTGCTTTATTGCTAACACTTTATTTGCAAATTATCAGCTCGTGTTATTTCCGAGAAATGTCGTCTTATAAAAGCACATGTAGTGAATATTGATGATCTCTGAGGAACAGTTTGTGCCATTATAGTAAATGTTTGAACCAGCATCAGTGTTGTTCAACGAGTTTTAACACCGGCTCAGCAAACTCAAGCTATATTCATCACTGAAGCTGGATTCAAACAGAGAATTTCACATGAGGGGATGGTGTAGAAGAAGTGGCATGTGCATTGTACTGTATGTGTTTAATTGTGCACATATAAGAAAACTTGACCAGCACACTATAGCTGTGCAAAGAGTGGAAAAAAAACCCAAACACAATATTGTCTTGTTTTCTTAGTACATACCTGAGCTTTTTGAGGGCTGATTGTCTGTCAGACAGGCAGCAGCAGTGGGCAGAGTGGAGTCAGCCTTCTTCAGATAATTCTCCCTGGCCAGATTCAGAATGACCTTCAAGTCACTGACAGGTATCGATGCTGCTCCTTTCTTTTCTAGACACAGAAACAGGGGTAGGTTTTGACTCTGTTTTCATTTCAGACTTTGTTTTTATCGCGCTGGCAAACTCACAACTGGTGTAAAAATCTGGCATCAGTCTTAACGTTACATAACGAGCAGTTTGGTGATTGATTCTCCTCCAAAACAGGAATGTACTCATTTTACCCCAGCTCCACTGGGTACATAAAATAGTAAGCGGCTATTTTTATCTCCCTAAAAAACAACTTAGTCAAAGTTGAGCTTTATAAACGGTTTATTTAAAAATGTGTGAAACATACTTATTGTAAAAATACATGTTTATTATTAGAAAATACTCACTAAACATTTATTCAAAAAGCTCAATATCCAAGCTCATTGTACTTCAGATTAGTTGTCCTAAACAACAGATTGTTAAGATGGGTGTATCTGGAATTTTCGAGGTTTTATGGTTGAGACAGAGAGATCCAGTTAAGAAAAACAAAAAACAGAAAGATAAATCCTCAAAATCCTTGGCAAACACATGCATTAGCTTGCAAATTCATTCCACACACATCAAGAGAAAAAGACAGACCCACAATTGTGCCATTACACCCACACACACACACACTTCACAATAATCATTAAAACTTCCCACACTACAACTAACTTTTAGCAACTTACACGGACATGCCTTTTCCCCAATTTAATGCCAAGTCAGAATAAATTGCGATGAATTTCATTAAGGCCTGTGGTCTGTCAGGACTCTACACTCTGCTCATGGCCCTTTCAAAGAATAGCCCTACTGCTTTTTCTCGAGCCTGATGAATTTCACTCCACTTCCTTTAATCTGGCTCCACTCTGCTGGCGTTTCACTATCTTTGCTGCCGAGGGGACATTATGTATGTCTGTAAAATAATGATATTTCAAGAGTCTTTCAATGCACCAGCCTGTGCTGAGGGCTAGAGAGAACTGAGACTTAGAACTGACGACAGTTTGGGATGCTCTAAGTGGACTCCACAGCTCTTAGGTCCATTACATCAAATTTATATCATCAGCCAACAGTAACGGCTCCTGTTAAACTAAACTTCTTTTTTCCTAGCCTACAGGTAGAAAAAAAACCATATGCACAGTAACTAACTACAGTACATCCATGTTTTGATTTCATTAGCTTCAATCAACTTATTTAATTTGAATAGAAACTAATTGCCCTTTATTGTCACTGTACATACATGTACAACTAAATTATGGGTGCACCACGCCAACTGTGCAGGAGTAATAAAAAATGTATTTATTTATTTATATATATTTTTATATATATATATAAATTTTCAAGCAGTATTCGAAATGATAAGATACATCACGTTTCTTCTTGGATGTTAAAAATATTCCCGTAAAATTCCCAAATCCAGTCCCTTCTCTGCAAGATGTTGCTTCCTTTTTTTCTGCTTGAGGGTTTTAAACTTTTGACTGACATCTCAAACTGAGCTCACGGTGTTGTGCTGAGGGCTAATCTCTGTTATTATCATATATTAGCAAGCTAACAATTCATAAATGCGCAAAGGAATCAGTGAGAGGTGCTGAAATGTGTCAGTCCACAACAGTGTGCATCCAGTTGCTCTAGTGTCGTAATGTATCTGATACTCACGTCAACAGTTTTCACTTTCTGGGTCATTCCACTAACAAACGTGCCTCCCACCCAAACCCCACAGAAACAGATTTTTTTTAAACAACAACTTAAGCATTGGGCGTGGGTTGAAATTTGGAATTTTTTTTAAGTATTCTTCTTTTTACCCAGCATTTTTGAAACTTTAAAGTTGACCCAAAATCACTTTTTGAAGTTTTAGGTATTGAATTTTCAGAGAACAGATAAACGTACCAGTCTAATGTGCCAGTTCTTTCTGTTACTCTACACCACGGACATTAAACTGGTGCAGTTTTGCTACTGAAACTATCTGATACTGAAGTAAAAGCTGGACACAGAAACAGCTGTTGTGGAAACGGAAAAAAAGTTGTTTGTTTTAAATTTGTGAGATTTGACTGCATTTTTTTTTTTTTACTGTGTCTTATATCCCCGAAAATGTAATGTAGCTACCTACCTCTTGTACAGAAGGTCTAAGGGGTCACAAATGAAAAAAAGGCAACTCACAAAATGTCAAATTTCAAACCACCTACATAAAAATGCTCATACATAGAATAAAAGCAAAATGTTTTGTGGCTTAATCAAATGAGTTGATTCTAATCAGCTGATTCTGAGGGATCAGTAAGGAACTTTAGTCCAGTTTAAACAGATTTTATAGGGAATGATCTAGAACTACAGCATATTCCAACTCTTTAAACGCTGCACTTACTAAGATATTCTTGAAGTGCCAGTTTCTGAACCTGGCTCACTCTTCTCTCTCTCCTCAGCATGTAGTCTCCTTGCAGACATGGCAGAGAGTGGAGGATGTTGCCTGCAGCAGCTCCTGATAAGCAGAAAAACAATAATGACATTTTTAAAGAAATCAGTAAGACAGCTGATATTTCTCTTGTTTGCAGGGACACTCGACAGATTTTCCACAAAAAGTTGACAGAAAACTTTCACAGAAATGATGACAAGATATAAAAGGCAGCGATGGGCTAGTGAAAGATTCGTCTGAGCTGGGTGATGGGGTTGTGGGATCCGGTGTTTCTCAAGCAACTTTTCTCAACAAATGTTTTTAACTGTGTCATAATTATACTGCAAATTTGTGTGATGGAGTAGTACAGTGCTGTAATCCTGGAGGACTTATTGCAGTTGTGACAAAAGACAAACCTGCAGAGTCACGAGATGATTTATAAGATACAAAAGAAGACAAAACATCCATTTGCAAAACAAAGAGTATTTTGTCTAATCTTCCTGTGCATGCAACATGTCACAAATGGTTTAAAGCAGACAATACTTCATCTTGTAGACATCATAAAGCATCGGAAACAAGTAGCTGGGTTAGTGCTCCAATATTTTGCAGCAAACATATGTTTCCTTAATTAAATTTGCAACTCTGTTTGAATGATTTTTCTAGTACATGACAAGGCGCATAATTAGAATTTCACGATTTTGCTCAGGTGCACATCCCTCAGTATTTTCATTCAAACTATGCTGTGTCATTGAAGCAGTCAGGGCATCTTTTATAGTGTTGCTCTGCATTTAAAAGTATCTAAAGTAAAGGAAAATGTCCCCTGAAGGTTGCATAAAATGTTAACAACAACAGGAACACTCTCGAGAGGAAACATCATAGCAGGTCTCCTGAATCACATTTAAAGCCTGAGAACGATGAAGGACTTTTATGAGAAGAAGATCTTTTTCGTTTAGGCAAAAAGTATATTTTTCTTTTCATAGACGATCACCCATCTGGTTATTTATAGCCTGAAAAGTCCACACAGTAAATGATCTATGCATCATGTCAGTCCTCTCGCCCATTTCTCTGTTGGTCTCTCTCCTATATAAAAAAATGAATGAAATAGTGAAAGCATCAAGAGAACAAGCGCAACAGTTCAATGCGATGAAAGCAGATTGGTGCAGTGAAGAAAGAAATGGAGGCAAAGAAGATTTAAGCTTTGATAAATACAATCTTTGGCACTTGGATGGGCAGCAGTGTTAAAGACTATAAGCTTCCAGTACAGCCTAACGTGATGAACAATAACCACCTCACAGCTTCTGTGGGAGAAGCCTTCTGTGGGCTTCTACTCCAGTCAAGCTGAGGAGCCGCTTTAAGCAAAAAGCCACTTGAAGGGCTTTCTTTAAATATGGCAGATAACAAATTGCTGTTAGAACTTCCAAAAGTACAAATATTGAGAAACTACTAAAGTGCTCTTTAAATGTGATTACAGTTGAACAAAACTTCCCCAAAGGGGCAGGAGAGACCTGAAGGGGACATGAAATTAAGAGACTTTTTATTTCAGTTTGACCACTTGTTTAGTTGAAGCTGTGACACAGAACTCACAGGGTCAAGTAAGTTTGCTTAAAACCCTTTTTATAATCACACTTACTATACCCAAAATACCATTCCCAATGTTGTCCATCATGATTAAACATCCAATACATCCACCTGCCCAAGAACAGCCATGTTTGAAACCTTTTTTAAGAGACAATGATTGGGTTCACTGCAAACAGGAACTAATAATAACAAGAAGCACTCAGACCACAGAGCTGTGCCAAGGCAGCTCGTTCTCTGGGCAGTATTTACTTTTAAAGGAATTTTTGTTTTGTTCAATATTCACTTGCTTTGCTTTAAGAAGTTTGTAGTGCAGATGTAAAAGGTAAAAGTGGGATCAGAGGTCAAATGTGACATGATATTTGGATACAAACTATATTGCAATATTTATAATCCCCATATGCCATTCCCTGTATGCCTATATGTTACAAACAACGTACAGTAAAAACAATGGCAGTATGAAATAGTCCTAAATAGATTTAGCCAAGTGGCGGAAGGCTTTCACCTGGGTGGTGTCAGAATCTCATCTCTGCTTTTCGTAGATGATGTGGTTCTGTTGGATTCATCAAGTGATGGCCTCCAGCACGCACTGGAACGGTTCGCAGACGAGTGTGAAGCGGTGGGAATGGGAATCAGCTCCACCAAATCTGAGGCCATGGTCCTTAGCCAGAAAAGGGTGGAGTGTCCACTATGAGTCAAGGACAGGTTCCTGCCCCAAGTGGAGGAGTTCAAGTATCTTGGCGTCCTGTTCACGAGTGACAGGCGAAGGGAGCAGGAGATCGACAGACGGTTTGGTGCTGCGGCTGCAGTGAGGCAGACGCTGCACCGGTCAGTCGTATTGAAGAGAGAGCTGAGTATAAAAGCGAAGCTCTCAATTTACCAGTTGATCTACATCCCTACCCTCAGCTATGGTCACGAGCTGTGGGTGGTGACCGAAAGAACGAGATCATGGAAACAAGCGGCAGAAATGGGCTTCCTCCAAAGGGTGGCTGGCTTCTCCTGTATAGATAGGTTGAGAAGTTCAGCCATCCGGGAGAGTAGAGGTGCTGCTCCTCTACATTGAAAGGTTGCGGTGGTTTGGGCATCTGACAAGGACGCCTCCTGGGCACCTCCTGGGGGAGGTGTTCCAGGTATGTGCCACTGGGGAGAGGGAGATGTGGGTTTCCCTGCTTAGGCTGCTGACCCCGCAACCCGGGATCTTGCTCTATTCCGACATGAGTGTAATTAGACATCACACAAGCTTTGTACTAGATGGCAGGCAGGTAAAAGGCCATGTGATATCCAATCAGACTGAGTCGAAAACATATTATTACATGCACATCTGTTTCCTAATGCCTATGAAAGTGCAGTGCAGAAGTGGATCTGTGAAAATGGCTACAGACGCCCGCCTACAAGTTTTTCCATATAAAATACCTGATGATGACAGAGGCTTCTCTCTCAGTAATGCGGACACAGTTGCCATGGCAGCCGCTCCATTAATTTGACTGTCTGAGTGCAGCATCCTGACCCTGCAGGCTTCACGCTCAGCGTTGTCCGAGCCCTGGACCAACAGGAAGTAGGCAGCACTCTCACCTTTGACCTCAACATCGGGCACTAAAAGAAAAGAAAGACAGGAGCATTTGTTACTTATATCGACTGCTCTTGGAAACCTCTCAGAGTCATCGGATACAAACGCCAACATGTATCCAAGATTACGGCAACCGAGACAAAAAGATTTCGCCGCCTCTCCTTCCACGCGTGGCCGGCCAATTTCTCCAAATGGCCTCTTATCCATCCAAAGGGCATTACAGGAGAGTAGGAATGAAAACAACCATCTCCAGAACAAAATTCACAAAATTGAAGAAGAAAAACGTCACCTGGAGAAGAAGTGCTTACAGATGGAAGCACAAAACAAACACCTGGAAGAAACACTACAGCGCCAGCCCGACATCAACATTATTAATGAGGGCTGGGGGATCAAGTTTGCTCAAGCCAGAGAGCAGATTGTATCCCTCATCAAAGAAAACAAGAAAAAGAGCGCTGAAGTTAAAGAAATGTCCGAGCAGCTTCAAGGCAGGAAAGGACGATTGATAAAATGGAGTGGGATCTGCAATACATGGACCAAATGAATCACCTGCTCCAAAGAAAGCTTGATGAAGCTGAAGAAAAAAATAAAGAAGTCCTCCAACAGAAGGAACAACAGGACACAAAGCAAAAAGACCTGCAGCGCGAGCTCCAAGGCATGCAGGAAAAGTACAGAATGGTGAAGGCAGAGTTGGAACAAACATTGGTCCAAAATAAAGACCTCCTTCAAGAGAAAGAGCAACAGAAAGAAAGACTGCCAGAAGAAAAGTGCATTATCAAGGACTTTGAGAGTAAAAATCAAAAGTTGCAAGGATTCTGTGATGAACTGAAGGTCAAAACAAGTGAGCTGGAGGGAGAAAAGGAAACACTAGAAAAACGATGCTCACACATGCAGAAAAAGATTGATCACATGGCCAAAAACAACTCAGAGCTCATTAAGGGGATATTGTTGGAATTCAACAACTTGAAGCGGGAAAACACAGAAATGCAGGCCCAAAAGCAAAAACAAGACAAAACGCATGAGGACCTGCAGTGTACGCTCCGCGATATCCAGAAAAGAAATGAGCAGCTAGAAGGCCTGCACAAAGAAGATCAAGTGAGAAATGCAGACCTGCAGAAGGCAAAGCTGACACAGGAGGCAACATCCAAAGACCTCAAAGAAAAGCTTGAAGAAACACAAGCAACATTAGAACAGGTGGAACAAACATGCAAGAAACTAGAGAGGCAAAACACAGAAACCATCGATGAGTTGAGAACCCTCATCCTGGACAAAAAGGCGCTCGTGGAAAAGTCCATGAAAAAGAAGAAAAGATTCTTCAGCTTTTTCCGGTAGAGGGACAATACTGCTTCTTCAACTGATGTAGCCTCGTCTTGCTCCACCTCTGTTCACCCCCCAACCAGTCCCGGCAGTTGACTGCCCCCTCCTGAGCCTGGTTCTGCCGGAGGTTTCTGCCCGTTTTAAAGGCAGTTTTTCCTCCCCACTGTCGCCTAGTGCGTGCTCAGAGGGGATTGTTGGGGTTTTCTCTCCTCTACCTTGTTTCTTTATTTACTTGTTAACTTTTTGCTCTTACCTCATTTAACCTTGTTTCGTTATTTACTTGTTAACTTTTTGCTCTTACTTCATTTAACCTTGTTTCGTTATTTACTTGTTAACTTTTTGAACTTACTTCATTTAACCTTGTTTCGTTATTTACTTGTTAACTTTTTGTCTTACTTCATTTACCTTGTTTCTTATTTACTTGTTAACTTTTGTCTTACTTCATTTACCTTGTTTCGTTATTTACTTGTTAACTTTTTGCTTACTTCTTTTACCTTGTTTCGTTATTTACTTGTTTTTAACTTTTTTTCAACTTATCTAACAAAATAAAACAGTTGAATTTATCCTTTGAGTATTGTTCATCTATTCTTTACAGAGTTTTTCCAAAACACTTTCAAACATTCAGATCTGTCTTTCATTTTCTTCTTGAAACCTCATGAACGGTGAACTAAAAACTCTGGAACATGGTTTGAAACACTGAAATTGTTTCAGCTGAAACTGGCAAAGTCATACGTGCGTGTGTGAGTGTCACAGGTGATATGGTGTCACTAGTCCGGTCATCATGTTTAGCTCATTCACCAGA